TCCGAATCAACCAAAAAGTGAAAATTGATTTTTTGACACCTAAGCCCCCTTTCCGTAGACCAGGTCACATATCATTTCTACGAAAAACTGTTTTTTCCCCATGTAAAATACATGGAAAACTTTAGGCGCATTGAGCGACATCTAAATATTTTTTGATTTCCAAATAAAAAAATTGGGTTATATTTTTTCGGTATAGAACAGCGATGGGCAGATAGAGCTTTTACTCTTCACGCGCCTGTACAAAATGTATATAAAGCTTAAAACAGCTTTGCCCGCGGGCAAGGCAGTGCCCATCAGTGGTATAGAACAATCCTAGAGTCATGTAAAACTCTCTTTCCTCTAATATAATCCTCTCTTTGATTGGAGGGTCTCTCAGTACATACTCGTACATAAAATGACCCGTTAGTATTATTTACATCTCCTCATTTCCTTTTTCTCCTTTTTACTAGTTTAGTATGTAAGTTACGTTTCTTCTTAGTTTAGTTTGAATTTGTAATTGAACGAGTGACGTCAAGCTTTAATAACTAAAGCAAATAAATATACAACAAAAACCAATTACTTCGTGTTTTACTTTACTCTAGGGGGTGAGAGCATAAAAATTCCGACTTTACTTTTCCCCACATGCAATTTTGGACCACCCTAATGTGCATACATACTTTCCTTGGCTGGATTGTTTGCACACAGTTTGGCGGTTGGCTTTTTGCCGCTTGCTGATGACTGCTTGTACAAGTACATAGTCAGCTGTTGGGTTAGTGTGGTCAATGTCAATTGAAAATTAATTGTACAACAAAACTTTTACGACGATAAGTCTGCAAATTCTCCAAATAAAAGCTATGTAAGTGAAAATATTTATATGAACACAATATTTTAGTATTGCCGTTCGATTGCAGTTTTGGATTACATTGCAGCTGTGGCTATCTACATACTCGGAGATAATTGAATTTGCTTTGGAATGTTGTCTTTGTGTTTGTTTTGAATAGGCACTGCAGTATTTTGATAAAACACTTAGGGCCATTTTCACCAACTCTGGATAACACTAATCGCCAGTTAAACATCGTTACCGACGGTACTGGCTCCATTCATTTAACATTGGGTCGATAACGTCGGTAACAATGTTTAACTGGGGATTAGTGTCAACCAGAGATGGTGAAAACGGCCTAAGGGCCCTTAGGGCCGGTTGTTCAATGTCTGGTTATCACTACTTGCCGGTTAAACATCATTATCGACGTTTTCGACATCATGCTTATAACATGTGATCGATAAAGCAGTCGTTGTATTTAACCAGCGCTTCTACCTCCGATTAGTGCTAATCAGACAATGAACAACCGGCCCTTAGAGTGCACTTGGGAAATAAAAGGAAGAATTTTATAATTTAATCAAGCTTAACCCCGGGAAATTAGTTACGAAAGTACTATAATTCCCGAATTCGCATTAAAAAGTAAGAAAGTCTTAGCTCAAAATTTTTATTTTAATATATATAAGGCTATTAAAAAAAGAAATAAGTTAAATCTCAAAAGGGACTTGTTTGCAAATGCACTCACTTACATAAGTACTTAACTAAACACCTTTTGGCCAATTAATCATTATTCAACAGCTTAAGCGGCGTTCATTTTGATTATTTTCAGCAGGGTGGAGCGGAAACTAAAAATTTTGCTTCTCTGCATGCCTTTTTGATTGAAAATTTTAGTTTTTTGTAAGTTCTATAAAAATTATGTAATTTATCAAAAAATGCAGCTTTGTAGACCATTATTTTTTTTTAATAAAGAAGCGCAAGTTTGAAGTAGCTAAAACTTACTCTTGTTTTCTCACACTGTTTTTTTTTTTGTTGAAAGTGCTGCTCATTTTCTTCATATAAATGTTTTGTCGAACAAAATTTTTATGGAACGAAATGCATAAATATAAAATATTATATGTATATAAAAAATTGTGAAAAAGCAGCGGTATTTCGTGGCCACTTTAAACTTGCACTTAATAATACCAAATTTAATGCCCTACAAAACTGTATACCTA